TGTCCTTACATATCTCTCCTATCCAAAGTATTCATTCTCTCTTGGAAACAAATTCCATTGATTAACTTTGTTAGATAAAAAATATATGAGGCACTGTGCACACACTTAAGGAGTGCGGATAGATCCCTATCTTGTATATTAACTTGTGAACTACTGTGTAAATGTTGACTGAATCCAGTGTACACATTTGCTCAGGAGAAAGTGTTTTCAAACAATAAACATCATAAGTTTGATTAGAGAGTTTACACGTAGGGTATGATCCCGCTGGTCCACCTGCTTATATTGGGTGTTAATTAGACAGACTGTGCACAGGGGAAGACTCTTGATTGGGGCAAACAAACTACGTGTGGGCTTTCTGCAGGATTTTAGAGTACTTACGAAACAGTGTTTGTCCCAGGGGAGGATATCTTTTAAAAAAGGGGAATTTTATTTTAGAAAATAGCAATGGAATAGTTAACATTAGATTGGGGCAAACAAACTAAGACTGTTTTTCCCAAATGTTAGAGCAAAAACAGTGCATTTCCCACATGGGCTATATTAGAAAAAGGGAGTTTTATAATAGAAAATGGCATTAGAGCTGTTAACATCAGACTGGGGCAAACAAGCTAAGCTTGGTATTTTCTCTGGATTTAAGAGTAAGAAACAGTGCATTTCTCAGGAAAGATCTTTTAGAAAAACAGCCCTTCAGTCTGCTATCTGTGAGTTCCACCCCTGGGTCTCCCATCATCTTATATTAATGTATGGTAACTGACCCCCAGTCTTCTATCTGTGAGTTCTACTCCTGGGTTTGTGTATGTGGTAACTGCTCCTCAGTCTGCTAACTGCGAGTTCGACCCCTGGGTCTGTACGCATCCTACACTGTGTATGGTAACTGTCCCCCAGTCTGCTATCTGTGAGTTCCGCCTCTCGGTCCATAAGCATCCTACACTGTGTATGGTAACTGTCCCTCAGTTTGCTATCTGTGAGTTCCACCCCTGGGTCTCCAAGCATCCTATATTCATGTATGGCAACTGTCCCCCAGTCTGCTGTTTGTGAGTTCCACCCCTGGGTCTGTGTATGTGATAACTGCTCCTCAGTCTGCTAACTGCGAGTTCCACCCCTGGGTCCATAAGCATCCTACACT